GGCATTTATAGGCTGTTGATGATGAATGAATGAATATGCAGACCATGTTGTCTTTTTTAAATGCTTGTCATTATTGGGACGTTAAAGATTCTTTATGTAAAAAAATGTAGCGGTTGATGCGGTGGCTAGGCATCTAGCTGCCGAGCAATGTGTAGCGGATTCGATTCCTGCACGGAGCAACTCTTTGTGAGATCCACAAATAGCAGTTTCGGGTCTGGGTGTCAATGTTTATGTGAAATTGTATGTTTGTAAACCCACCTAAGACACAGGAGAAAATACTTGTGAAAAAAAATATTTATTACCTATGGTTAAGAAGCGGTCATCATGATTAAAAGGATTGATAATTAATTAATTCAATAATTTATTATACCTAATTCTTATGGCCTGGTTTTGTAATACAACAGAAAAACGCACTGTCACGCATGCAGGCAAGGGGAAAGAACCTGTAAATCATTATTTTGATAATGTTTTCAAGTTATCAAGAGATAGAAATGTCATAGGCTTGCATCACGCATAAAATGCAACGATAATATAATGTAATGACAATGACATCGGTCAATGTCGTCTTAGGATTATCGTATCGACCCAAATTGTCTTCTTACACGAGTTCCGATAAAATGACGACAGTGATCTGGTGCATTGTGCTTTGATTTTAATCTTAAATCACATGTCTAGTACTTGAACTTGATCTTTAGATAGTTAAGATTAATCAAAGCACTACCTATATCTGTACATCCCTAGCGTACGGCGCGTTGCGTTCCGCGCGCGCCTTAAAGAGCCATCAGACCACCACAGATGGGACCCAATAGGGCTGATGCCGATACGGATCCACGGAGGACTTAACGGGTTTCCGGGGATCTGGCTTGAAGTGCAGTGGTAGGAACGGGGTGGTTTTTAGTCAGTAAGAGTCTGACACTCCCCTCCCGCGTAACCCAGGCGGCAGAAGTCATTTAACTTAAAAAAATATCTGTACCTACATAGGTACGCATTTAGGTATTTGCTTTCAAAACTATGAAACAAAATGTGTCAGCATTTTTAAGTAAAACTCAATTTTTTTTATGTAACACCACGCTGTTTATTTTAATTCATAATTATTTAAGTTTTTATATAACTTGCTACGTGTGGGCGTAAATTGTTCTTAGTAAGTACGATTAGTTGTAACTAGGATTATAACTACAGTAAAATGTAAATGTTAAGAATAAGTAGATACTTTGTGCTTGCGAAACAATAGTTAATTGGTGGCCAGTTACGCGGGTGTTAAGTAATAATGGCTTCTACCAAAAAACACATAATGTTAACACTTACAACAGGACTTAATGATCCGTTCACGGCGATCAGTTTTTACTGTGCTAAGGTGAAGTAAGGTGCAACGCATAATGCACGCGGACGACACGACCTCAACGCGTGTTATTCGATACAAAATTTTAACATGGCATGATATGAATGGAAACGTTGATTTCTTAATGTGAAATCTTAAAAAAATAAGTTTAGCTTTTATGAGAAATATCGCGATGCATATTAAATAGCTTGTCGCGCATGCTGCTCATGATTAAGGGACCCTGGCGAGGCCGAAACTAGTTGAGTAACTCTGTCAAAAGTTATTTACCGTAAATTGAAAAAATAGTATTAAACAGTTATAATCGTAGTACCTAAGACTAATAAGACAATTATAAGAGGAAATAGGAAAGTAAAATAAATAAAGGTGTAATAGATTGGTAGTCAATTGAATACCCTTATATCCTGCATGTTTGTGGATCTCGTTTGAACTCGGAAATAAACAGAGGGGTTATTTGAATGGCTGTAGATTACTTGTGTTCTCCTATTTCACCCTTTATGGTGGTTTTTGATTAAGCAATACACGAGAATAAAGAACATCCGCATCTGTTTGTGCGGGTGTTCCGTTCCGCGCCATTGAAGTGTGTGCAATTTTTGTTAAAAGCATTTTTATGTACATTATTTTTTATTGTTTTCTTTTTTATGGTTCCATGTTTGAAAGTTGGTATGATGTCTAATTTTAAAAACTCGAAATTAGATTTTCATTTGATTAAAATCATTTAATTGACAGGATGTAGCGAAACATCTGTCATTTCTAACCACATAAATTTATATGCATAAAATATATCATTAAAGGCAAGTGGTCTCGGGTTCGATTCCCGGGTCGGGCAAAGTAATACCTACTGAGTTTTTTTAAATAAGCATCTCAATACTAGCATGGAGTCTGGAATTTTGCCCGATGTATGGCAATACGCTCACCCCCTATTACACGGGACTCATAACAGAAATAGTGAAAAGTGGGTGTTATATTTCACAGTGGCATTAAGTGCCGTAATGTGCACCTCTGTCTACCCCTTCGGGGATAAAAGCCGTGATGTTATACATGTATATCACAATAGACAATGATCAATTATCATCCACCCAATAAAGAAATTTATAATTGTTTAGTAGGAAAAATAAAATATATTATTATATCAGCAGATCAAATTACTTATGCCTAAAATATTACAAGCGTATTTCCCCAATCTAAAATGAACGAAGAACCGCTGAAAAGCACTTAAAGCCGGTCTTAAGAATTAGCACAAAGATCAAAGTTTATTGTTTAATTATTGTCGGATAACAACGACTAACAAGGCAGAGATTTCAGCCGGTATCTCGCTAATCTTTGGTTAATTTAAATATAAAATCTAGATTACTGGCAGCTTGGGGCTGATCGTTATCCAAAAGCCTTTGACATGAATGAAATTAATTTTAAGTTATTGATCTTGGTTAGCAATTCAAAGAGGATTTACTATTGTATTATTGCTTAAGTTACACACAGGAAAGCTACGAAAAAAATAATAATAAAAAAAACTGTTCTGGAGTTCTGGAATGCACTACAAGCAGTTGATTACAGTAATTTAAATTGGGTAGTTTCCTGGGTCAAAAATAAATTATTTTGATTTTTCAATCCAATTAAATATTGAAAAATAGTTACACTTTCATTCATTGATTTGCCGATATACTTAATTTTCGATTTATTCTTGCATTTTCTTCAGATATAAGTGTGCTATTTGACGCGAAAATATGATGACGTCACAAGCTAGTATTTCGTACAAAATTCATAGAACAGTATCGTTTTTGACGTTTCGATAAAAGTATTGAATTTGACTAGTTGTCAACTACCGTATTGTTACAAATCTGCAGTAGCTAGCTATTAATATAGCTGGCTATTAATACAAACGTTTCATATTTATAAGTTGCCAGCTGTATAAAAAATATTTTTTCAAAGAATGAATAAAGAACATGAAAATTTATTGATACTAATTAAAATTATTGTCAATAAATTCGACGGTTGAATTTAAAAACATCATTCAATCGACTATTAACGCACGTCACACCAATCGACCGAACTAAACGGATTACCAGTTTGTTTAGAAACCTGTTTTTGTTTAAAATTACGATTCTGATACACCTACTTGCAATTTTGACATGTATTACTGTTTTCGCATTAAGTCCTATCCACCCCGCCCGCGCTTTTATGCTAGTTAGATAAGAAAATGCATTTGTGTACGTTCAGGTACTTACATTATCTGTATTATAGTTTAGATTACATACTAATAAGTCAACATTCAGCAATAAATTTTAATTCATCATCATCAGCATTAACAGCAACTAAGGCCTACAGTCAGTGCTAAGTAAAGGTCTCTTCTGAAGCGGGGATAAGGCCTTTGCGGATATGTATCATTACATATTTGTTAATAATACGGGAGATTCTTTATTAAACTAAATAAAAAGTGCGAGGATCAAAAAGTATTAGACTAACGCGTTTTCGCATAGTAATATATTTTGGCAAGTTTGTTGCGAAACAGCGGAAATAAAAAAAATTATGAACAATGTACCGTTTAACTTGCGTAACGAAAATGTCAAATAGAACGTTTTAATGTGTTAATTTGCTAATAAAATATAGAAAAACTTTAAAACTAATGACGGAATAAGTCCCTAAAGGGAATATTTATTGCAATCTTCTCAAGCAAAGTTAGATACTCCCAATCAAGTATAACTTAAGTAGGTATATTTTTAGATTTTGTAATTGGTAGTTATTAATTAGTATTGAGAAACATTTCGATACAATCTATTGTATTGTTTAGGTAAGAGCTCATAGCATCGTCTTCATGGTCTTTCATAGAAAATTGAAAGAAAGAAATTCTCATATCAAGCTACATTCCTAGAGCCTATACTGTAAGGGTAATACTTAAGGTCTATAACAGTTGTTGTAACATATAAACATATCGTCTGTGCAAGTGTTAGCAAATTAAGGTTTGAAAGATTTAAATATTCAGGTCAAGTTTGACGTAGATAGCTTTATTAAACAGTTAATGATATTTAAGGAATTACTAAACTATGACGCACTTGTTTTGGTTGCACGTAATATAAAGCCTTTAAGCTTGTTTAGATATCATTTATGGGTGGAGGGCAAATAATAAACATATGCAATTTATCCACGGGACTATGAAAACATCAGAAGAAAATAGTTATTTTACACATAGGCACAATTATCATTGTCTACCAGATATTATGCCTGATTAGAAAAACAGGTCTATCAGTATATGAAACTAGACAATCAACCTATTCCATATACTTTTTTTCAAGTGATAAATAATCACGTTGGAAGCAACTCATGAATGTTAGAAAATAAAAGCATCTTAGCATTATGCAACAAAAGTCTACGAACGTAACCAATAACTGTATAATAATGTCGAGTACTGAAAATCTGATAGCTCTTAATCAGAGTACAAGTGTACCGCAGTATTAAGTACATATTATATTTAGTGACACTTCACAATGATTGTTACACACAATGAGTTTTCCAACAGCCTAAGTAAACTTAGAGGGGGGAGAGGACGTCTTACAAGATGTGACAAACTGACAAGATTGTTGACTAACTTTTAGTCTTAAATTAGACTCTGTGGCGGCAATCTTACAACAATAAGCAACTTTAGCAAATGAAAATGTAATATACGTACTCAGAAACGCCGTGGGAGACAGCGGCATTTTCCTGTCCTTTGGTGGTGTACTGTACACAAACGCAGGGTTGACACAACCGCGGGATTGGTTCGGGCACATATCACTCTCCGAACCCCGACGCACGCGCTTATGAGTCATCAACTCAGTCATTGATTTTGCAGACTCCGATTTTCCCATCCCTTTCAATTTCTTCTTGGTTTTGTCACTCTCCGGCGAATGTATGTGTAAGATGGCAGCTGCTTTCGGTGGTATTTTGTCTGGCACTATTAGTTCCTTAGCTGACACACTCTTTTGTTTTTTATTTGAAAACAAGTCACTAAACTTTTTTTCCACTTTCCTCGGCCGCTGTGGCTTCAAACTTAAGTCGATGTCTCCACTCTTCTTCCTCTGTTTAGGCGGTTCCGGTTTCCGCTTCGCCATGGCTGGTGTCTTTGGTTTGTACGTTCCTTCAATACCCGTGTATGCGACGTCGTACTCCTTCTCCGTCCAGATCGTCGGCTTTGTGAATAAGATTCCGTTGTTTTTGATCTTATCGATATCATCTGTGGTATCCTCGTCCTTGGACCGCCAGCGGTGGCCGATCAGTCGTAGGGAAGCGCGGACGGATCTGGAGCGTCGTAGACCGCTTTGCTCCCTCTTGAACTTGTCGATGAGGGTATCCATAGCCCTGTTAGGGGTAGCGGGGCGCACTGGGCCCTGGGCATTGCACGTCGCGATCGACTACGCGCACTCTATTCACTAACGATAGTTACGTGAGTCGCTTCCTTCCCGACGTTCACTCGGTGCGGCGTCGGAGTGTTGAATGCGGCCTGCAACAACGTGGTAAATGGTAGGGCTCCCGTGACCGTAGACCTCGCAGTAGCCCGGCCCGGACCGACGCGCGCGATGATAAACTGTTCTCGTTTGCACAATCATTTGATTTGATAAGATATGATTGTTTGGCATACGCATTCACGAGTCAGATTTGTTGTGACGTGAACTCTCAGATAAATACTAGAGACACGGTGATGAATGATGAGAACTTGATTTGAATTGTTAAGTATTTTATGGGTGCATTGGGTTTTACGGTTATTATTGATTCTTTCGCAATGTTCGTGTTAGTGGCGCGGATTGATTTACGACAGCGCAGAACACGCTGGCGGCGCCGAGTGTGCCGACAACTGTGCCATGATCGATCATTCATTTAATTTATTGGACATTGCCAGTGAACGAGGTTAAACTTTGTCTTAGAACTTCGCTACTTTGAGAGTTAGACGTTAGTTAGGTAACACTTACTTACAGTTCTGCGATCGTTACATGATTCTCTGCATTTCCAATTGAGGTTTTTGGAACATAATTATGTTAGTGAAAGTTCTTTAAATCGAGTTCAAATTAATAAAATCAATTACACTTGCGTTAACAGGTACCTATTTAAGCACTTTACCATATTTTTTATTGTTCCGAATAAACCTTTTTAGAAAATTTCCATTTATTTTAACACATAAATAATTATTAACATCATACTTAGACGTAAATGACTTTGTAAATGACCATAAATATGACAAGCTATAATAAATTTATCTAATAGCTTGTAGGACCTTAGATTATATCTTCTATCGAGAAAAGCTAATATTATCAATACAGTGTCTCGAACCGTTACAGACTAAATACCTATAAACTATCGAACTTAGAGCTTAGTAAGAGCCTTTATTAATAATAGTTTCCAACTTAATAATGAGGCCAAAGTTCCAAAGATGGCAAGGAGTGGTAAACTAGGACCAAGTTCCATCACAGTATGACGTAAAATTAACAATAACACACATGATCTGCAGACCTTGTGACGGTTTCTCAAACGAAAATATTTAAACAAGAATTTTCGTTATGCACTTAGTTTTTAGATAACAGATATATTGAAGTGAAAGTTTATAAATATTCCTCTACTTCTACGTCACTTTTAATTTACAAATAATGCCAAAATTTATTTAGGAATAAATATCAATAGGCTCACCCCCTATTGCATGGGACTCATAACATAAATAGTGAAATGTACACCTCTGCCTACCCCTTCGGGGATAAAAAGGCGTGATGTTATGTTATGAATATTTAGAAATGAATTTCAATGAATTTCAACTACGTAGGTCTGTGCGTGGAATTCTACGAAGGTGTTACAACCTTTTTTGTTCGCCTTTTTGCTGAATGTAGTTACAGGCAACCGGACGATTTCTAAATTTGAAATTGGATCTCGCTTTGAATTTTTAGCGGGAAACAATTGAATGTCCGACATTTTTAGTTCGGATTCCATTTGGTTGTCATTTTGTCATATTCATTTATACACAAACTTTTTCAGTATTTAGCTTTTGTACAGTCATATATTTTTAATAATCGTGCAAATTTTTACAAAATGAGCGCAGGATTTCGAAATTGCAATACATATTCATAATCTATCTCATCATATCTGTTATAAAACTCCCAAATCTAATTAGAAAACTGCGTTTCGCAGTCGTAAATAAAATTAAAAAGTTAACTTTCAAATAAAATTCCATTTCAAGATCATACAAAACGAATACATACAAGCTTATTTGTCAAACCGATGCTCTTTCCATTTTCGAATACAATAAAAAAATCGCACAACGTAGGTACTGGCAACCCGGACATTATATTCACCCTTCGCAATAACTCTTCGATAAGATGCCGTCGAAGATACTTGAGATATTTTAAAAAAGGAAACAATTTAATTAAACGATCGCTGTCATTATTATAATGGAACGCCTATTATGGCAGCCATATTGGCAGGCAATTTGTCAACATTGAATTTATAGAGAGTTAACTTTTAATTGATTGAGACTTGTTTTTCAGTAAAAAAGCTAGTTGTAATGCGAGTACGGATAGCAATTAAATGTTATTACATAGGTATTACTCAGTCGGAACTTTTCGTTTGATTACCAATATTTTTTTTTAAGTTTTATCGATGCGCAAAAATGTCTCATAATTTTAAAATTAGAATACGCCAATATTGTTCAGAATTCCTTTTCTTTTTATCGAAACCGGTAAATGACTACACGGTTATCCGTCTACTTATTTACCTCACTTTTACCTTACCATGAGGTTATCCTCATGGTAAGCAATCCGCACCACCCATGAACACCTGAAACACCAGAGGTGTTACAAATGCGTTACCGGCCTTTTGGGGTTAGGATTATGAGGATTGTTGGGGATTCGGGGAATGGGGAGATTGACTCCGGTCAACCCGGCCCATTCGTGCCGAAGCATAGCTCACCCACAGCTCATTTCGTAAATTTCTCTGTCAGAGGTTACAGTAGGAAGGCACAGGACAGGATCTGTGGTTAAAAGATTTTACTTATTCCATATACCTTAGTCAGCTTCCCAGATAACATTACAATTCTCATGTGTTATGGGAGTAGACCAGTGGCCTAATACCATTCTTGTACTAAACAGAGAACAGACTCATCATAATGCTAGTTTATGCTGCTAAAGTTTTCGGTCTCTACAGCACATGCTTGGAGAGGCCAGTTCCCGCTTCTCTGGAAAGCGGGCAAACTGGTCCTCGTGCGGAAGACGGGGCGCCCTGCGGACTCTCCGTCCGCATACCGGCCCATAGTGCTGCTCGACGAGGTGGGGAAAGTCTTCGAAAGAATCATTTCGAACCGCCTCGTCGCGCACCTGACGAACATTGGGCCGGACCTGTCGGACGGCCAATTCGGCTTCCGCAGAGGGCGCTCCACGGTGGACGCCATCATGCGCGTTAGGGACCTCACGACGGGGACTGCAGTGTCCGGGGGTAGAGTCGTGGTGGCGGTGTCTTTAGACATCGCCAACGCCTTCAACTCCCTGCCCTGGAGCTGCATCTTGGAGGCACTTCGATATCATGGGGTGCCTACCTACCTCCGTCGTGTGATCGAGGCTTACCTGACGGACAGGTCCGTCAGCTACCCCGGTCACCGGGGCGAGTGGAACCGGCGAGAGATGTCACGCGGTGTTCCACAGGGTTCGGTTCTGGGGCCGCTCCTGTGGAACATCGGCTATGACTGGGTGCTGCGCACCGACCTCCCGAACGGCGTTAGCACAATATGCTACGCCGACGACACGCTGGTGCTAGCGCACGGGAGGTCGCACCAGGCGGCGGCCGATTTAATGGCGACAGCGGTTGCGACAGTCGTTGAAAAAATCCGGCAGTTGGGACTCGAGGTGGCGCTCCACAAGTCCGAGGCCATGTGTTTTCATGGCCGCGGGAACGCGCCACCTCCGGGTGGGTCCCAAATAATGGCGGGAGGGGTTACCATCGGCGTCGAGACGACGATGAAGTACCTGGGACTCGTCCTCGACAGTCGGTGGAACTTCGTGGAGCACTTCCGACGTTTGGCTCCAAAGTTGGCGAGGGCGGGGGCTGCGTTTAAGCGCATCCTCCCCAACCTCGGGGGGCCAAACGCCTCCTGCCGGAGGTTATACGCCGGGGTCGTGCGGTCCATGGCCCTCTACGGCGCCCCTGTTTGGGCGCCGAACTTGTTGCGGCGTCCTGCTCGGACGCTGCTCATGTCACAGAGGGTCATGGCGATCCGAATGATCCGCGGATACCGCACGATCTCTGGGGAGTCGGCGAACCTCCTTGCCGGATTACCGCCGTGGGATCTGGAGGCGAAGGTGCTCGCGCGCGTGTATAACATGCGCGCGGAGGCACGTCGCCGGGGCGAAACTCCGCTGCCGCGCCAAATAAGTGCGTGGCGGGATGAGCTCCGGCGCGATCTCATGGCGGAATGGCAGCAACGACTGTCGCAACCGGGGGCTGGGCTCGCTGCCATTGCAGCGGTAAGTCCCCTCTTTGAGGAGTGGCTTGAGAGACGCTACGGCGTCCTCACCTACCGCCTGACGCAGGTCCTCACCGGACATGGAAGTTTCGGGAGGTACCTGTGTCTGATGGGGCGGGAGGAAACGCCCGGGTGTCATCACTGCGAGGACCGCCCTGAGGACACGGTGGAACACACAGTGGGAGAATGCCCTGCGTGGGCTGAGCACCGCCGTGCCCTCAGGGAAGTGATCGGCGATGGCGACCTCTCGCGTCCGGGCCTAGTGCAGGCCATGATGCGGAGCGAGGGGGATTGGGATGCCGTCTCCTCCTTTTGCGAAGCAGTCATGCTAGCTAAGGAGGAGGCGGGACGCGTGAGGCAGCGAAGCGCTGCCTCCTCGCAACCCAGCCATCGCGAAGGACACACCGGGCGTCGGGGATCGCGAGACGATCTCCGGCCACCGTAAGCGCGGGCCTGCGGACGGCGAGCATGGGTGGCTCCCCGTCCGACCAGAAACAGACCCGAGCGTACGGCGCGTCGCGTTCCGCGCGCGCCTCAAAGAGCCATCAGACCACCACAGATGGGGCCCAATAGGGCCGATGCCGATTCGGAGTCGCGGAGAACCTAACGGGTAACCGGGGCTCCGGCTCGACGTGCAGGAGAAGGAACGGGGTGGTTTTTAGTCAGTAAGAGTCTGACACTCCCTTCCGCCTCACCCAGGCGGGAGCAGTCATTCGATGATTTTCCCCCTTAAAAAAAAAAAAATTCGCGCTCCAATCAGATTTCTAAGAAGGAGTAATCATTTAAAATGAACCATTATTACCAAGCCATTATTGTCCTCTATTAACATAAAATATGATTAGTAAGTATATATGTTTGTTG